TCACCACGCGCGAGCGCCTCGGAAACCGCTTGCGGCGCTGGCGGCAAGCCAGTGTCAGGTAGTTTAATATCTTGGTTGACGTTGGGTTTGGGGAGCAAACAATCAAATCTTAGCAGTTCAGTGGATTTGAATTTCAACCACTCAACCACAACAAGCAAAAATGCAGAATGTTTCCCAACAACAACCATGACATGGTGAACCCAGAACCATGTAAATAATTAAGAAGGCGGCCCTTACTAATTAATCTGGATCAGGGAAACGTCCTTTTCTGCCCGGCTCTTCTCCGGAAACACTTGGACTCACTTCCTGCAAAATGGTCTTCCCCCAAAAATACCAGGCTCAGGGTTGCTGGCAGAAAACCAAAACAAGCAAATGCCCGGGGGAGTTGGTCCCAGGTTTGGCTTGGCTCCAAAGAAACTCCGACCGGACGGACGGACTCGGAGGGGCGCCTGGCTCCTCACGGGCGCGGCGCTTCAGCTTCGGGGCCTCGGCCCGAAGCGGCGAAGCCCGCAGGAGTTGGGTAAGCCGGGTGGGTTGGATTGGGTGGGTGGCTTTCTGCTCCCCCAAAAGTTGTTCACTTTTGGGGGTTTAATACGGAATTTCATTGGTGGCCAAAATGAAAGTCCTAAGATCCAAGCAAAATGCAGCAACGTTTTTGTGCGGGCTGCATTGCCTCCATTTGCGTTTTCGAGAACCACCCCCTTCACGAAAATCCGGGGTCGACGCTGAAGAGAATCCCTCTTCCAATCTTGACACTATGAAAGCCAAGCAATGAAACCGATGGACGGAATTGTGCACTTTGAGACCATGGGGAAACCATGGTTGGTTGGTTTTTACCGTCCTTCCCGGGTTTCTTTGGTGTTTTGAAACAGGGGGCTGTGGAAGGCCGGGGGGTGGATCAGCAAAGCTTCAAAAGCTAAAGCCGCAGGCCGGAGCAGGGTGCTCGGGCATGGGGAAGTCCATGGCCTGCAATCCACATGCGCCCGCGGCGACCTCGTTTTTTTTGCGAGGTCCCCTCGGTCCTTTTCGCTTAGATGGGCTTAGGGAAACCAACGGCACAAGGGAAAAGACACCAAGTCCCATGGAAGTTCGTTCCACTTGACAAGATGCCTTGATGGTGGCTCTTCGCGGGATGCCCAGCACCAAAGTGTCAGAGGCCCCCGCGGCTGGTGATGTGACATGGGTCTCTGCTCGGTTCAAACCAGAGACATTTGCTAGACACCGCCCAGAGGCAAGAGTCCCGCATATTCCAAAGGTCCTGCGGACATCTGGGTACGTCTCTTTGCGGGTCAACCTTCTGAAAATGGGTGCATAGACTCTCCATGACAAATCAAAAATGGGGTCATGAACCCCCAAAAAAACAGAAACACTGAAAAACAGGGCCCGCCAGGCGTCCCGGACTCAAAAGAAAAACAAAAAAAAGGGGTGACCACGTGTTTAAAGGGTCACGGAGAGTCCAGCTGCTTGTCCCTTGGGTTTTTCGAGAAGCCGTGCCTCGCCCTTGGCATCCAAGAGCAGAGGCATCCACTCGGGGTGGTTCACCAGCTCGTTCATGACAGGCCCTGGCAGGTCCGAGTTCAACGATCGTCCAAACCCCAAGGTGGGCGGATCATCTAAGCCCAACGGTGGGATCTTTGGTGATTTTTCCTCAAATCGAAGTCTTGTCTAAACGCCCAGAACTGGCTTGGTCTTTGAGCCCTCGAACATTGCGCTGGAGCTTTCCAGGCAGTTGACCTTGGAAAACACTGTTTCTCCTAAAGGTCAAATGCTCAACCGTCACAGGGTTGCACATGTCACAGCGTCAGGGGTAAAATTAGGGCTCGTGCCCTGTTTTTTGTGTTTGAGCCCCCCACGTCCCGGATCATGGACGACCGGCAAGTTTCGTCCAACAACTCATTCCAAGGTAGTGGTATCCCGATGGAAGCGTAAAAATGGATCAGGTGCTTGCTCGAGGTGCTTGGTTGGGACCTTCGCCGCTTCCCAGGGGCTGACTTAAGGTAAACCCTGACCCGAGGCATGGATCGAGTTCCATGCGCCAAACGCACAACTTTTGCTGACGGCGGAATCCGCTTGGAGAACACACATGACCCAAGTGAAAGCTGGCTTTGGTCCAGGCATGTGACACCCTGCAAACCAGCCCCAAGGAAGTCAAGAACCTGAAGGAAGTAAGAAGGAGATTCCTCCCGACCGGATATGTTTTCTGGGGGCCTTTCCAGGCTCAAAGTGCTACTTTGAATATACGGTCCGAGTGGGATGGGAAGGCAGCACTCACCTCTGGACCTCTCACGCGGAACATGGGGTCAAGCTCGCTCGTCTCGCTGAGTGCATTGGCCAAACAGAAAGTCTAAGCTTGTCGATTGCCTAGCGGCCAAATTGAGAAGCCCTTTCTGAACTAAGTTTAGCACCAAGTCTTTGAACAACCCGCCCAAATGTTGAAAAAATATGAGTCAAGGGCTGGACGGAGCCATACTGGCGACGCATTCGTCGCAGAATCTCCGAAGGAGTTTCCACTGGACTCCAAACATCGAAAACTCAACCAACACGGCACGTCTCGAGCCTGTGCGCAAGCGCCGGACATTCTCCTGGCGCTTCCGGGCTCTTTGAAAGAGTACGTATAAAGAGGTTGATTCGAGCAGAGCATCCAATGGTGAAGTTGTGAGCAGCCCTGGTTTTTGCCCAAGGAGGGAGAATGCAAAGTTGCTGAGCTGTATTTTTCTAGGTGTTTCACCCTAGGCCCTGATGGAAGCTCACTTCGAGATATCCACAAGTGATGTTGAAAGGGTTGAAGGAAAACCCCGCAGTGGACCACCCCCCGACACAAAGCTCGCAAAGGAGGTGACCATGCTGAGTCGAGCATTCGGAGCAGCTGGTCCTTCGAATTGAAGGCTGAACGGAGGTTGCAGAACAAAGTGGCAAAATCTGCATGACGTAGATTGGCGGAGTCAAGAAAGGAGCGCTTGTGCGAGTGTCTTCTTCCAAATTAGCCAACTGTTTTGCATCTACAAGGACCTGCGAATGTCACGCTTCTGTCACACTCGAGAACCACCTCAGGAAAGTCACCCCTGAATCATGCATTCGTCACATATATATATATATCACAATGGGATGGAATGCCAACAACTAACTTCATATTTCCACATGATATATCTGGACAAACAACTTGGATGGGACATTTGCAGCATTTCAGCAGGATGCTTGTTCATGAGCACCAGCTATGACAAAATATGATTTGCGTTCCATTGTTACTGTTGTAGTTGGGAAGGGACACGACAAGCACTGACGTTTTTCATGGGTGGGATCATCTTGTATCCCGAGGTGAGCTTCTTCCAACCTATGCAAACACATGCGATCCATGGTGATAGTTGGGAAGGCTGAAGGGACGGCAGACTACCCTGCTTTGCTGTCGGTTTAGACAAGTTCGCGCAGAAGACCGGAATGAGACATCTCAATGGACGAACCACGTTCGTCAAAATCACGTAGGGCGATGGCAACTGGCAAACGGTTTGCATTGCAAGCGAGGTGACGGATTGCTGGATTGCTCACTCTCTTACCACGTTTGTGGCTAACTCTACACAAAGGACACAGCTAGAGAAACCTAGTCAAGAATCCCTGCCTCAGATGCCAAGTGGACATGGGGAAAAAACGGCATCCTTTTTGGGTTGGTTGAGTTTGAAGGGAACCCTGCCCCCAAAGGAAAAATGAAAAAAGGGCGCCACTGGGCAACTGGGCTGCATCTTCTGCTTGCGTGTTGCCAATCTGGAGCTGGGTGCTGGATCTGCCCATCCCATTCGCTGGCCGGCGTTACTGCATATCCAACTATATGGGTGTGTCTGTTTTTGAGGGTGCCAGTTTTTTGGCCTTAATGAGAAAGCTCAGGGTATTCCGAAGCCATTTTGGGGTACCCTCAAAACACACACACTTAAACTCCAAATGGAGAGTGCTAATCTTTCGAGTGCAACTGATGAGTCTCGAGTACAACTGATGAGTCTCGAGTATGATGAGCTTCGACTCGCATAACGCTTGGCTTCCCTGTAGCTACTTTAACAGGGACACCCAGAAGCAACGGCAGTTCAGGGGGGGGACCAAAAGGACATTCAGAACAACACAACCATCTCGGCAGGTACGTCTGACTGATCAGGTCAGATATCAGCGCAGGTCACGGCCCTCTTCGTTGGGTCACCGGTCGTGACTGCGGGTGACCCCCCTGCTGAGAAACCGAAAAGGTGGTGACAGGGCATTCTGTCACTCCGCACACACACGCCCCTCAATGAGGGGCGAGAAACACTTTTTCGGGGGGGAGAAGAAGCGCCCGAAAGACGGACGAAGACCCCAACAGAAAACAAACGGAGCAGGCACCCAAAAGAAACAGAAAGCCCCACGTTGGGTCTCCGCGGGCAAAACCCCAACCGAGAAACACGAAAAACAGGGGAACCCGAGTTTTAGGGTCACCGCCGAGGGCAAAAACCCCAAACAGCCCAGAAACCCTCCTAAACCTGGAAGACGACCACCACCGCAAAGTTGAAGACCGAGAAGAGGACCAGGCCATCCCTAGACGGGCGAAGAGGAAGAACAGGAAGTAGTTGGAAAAGGGGGGGGGGAGGAAACGAAGAAAGGAAGAGAGAAAGAGAGAAAAAAGAAGGAACGAAAGAAAGAACGAAAGAGAGAGAGAGAGAGAGAGAGAGAGAGAGAGAGAGAGAGGGAGAGAGAGAGAGAGAGAGAGAGAGAGAGAGAGCGTATTTAGGGCGTCGCAACCGCCCGGGGGGAAAAAGAAACAGGGTGCGTATTTAGGGCGCCGCATCCCGCCCGGGAAGAAGGAAAAACGAAGAGAGAGGAGGAGGAGAGAAGGAGAAGGGAACAGGAGAAAAGGGAAGGAAACGAGAGAAGGGGAGAAGGAGGGAAAGAGGGAAAGAAAGAGAAAGAAAGAAAGAAAGAAAGAAAGAAAGAAAGAAAGAAAGAAAGAAAGAAAGAAAGAAAGAAAGTGTGCGTATTTAAGGCGACGCATCCCGCCCAGAGAAACACGAGGACAAAGCCAATGCTCGAGGAAGAGGGCGTCGAATCCCGCAGAGGGGCCATGAGGAAGAGCACGATGAAGCAACGGTAGGGAACGAAGACGGCAAGCCAAACAGCGCGAGGGGACCGAGGACCACGAACAAATAGGCAAACAAGAAGAGGACGACGACGAAAAAGGCAAACAACGCGGCAGAGAAGAAGCCATCCCTAAACGGGCCAAGAAGAAGAACAGCAACACGCGGAAGACGGAAGGCCGGAAGAAGGAACGGGAGGAAGGAGAAGCCATCCCTAAACGGGCGAAGAGCAAGACGACGGACACGCGGACGACGAAGGTGAGGAGGGAGGGTGAGACGTCTCTATGATCTGACCGCTGTCTTCCTTTTAGTGAAACCTCGTTCCTGGTTAAATGTGAAATTCCGCTGTTCTATGATCAGCACGTTGAGGTCAAATTTTCCGACAGAGCCGGCCCGGGGTCACACAATGGGTACACCCGAGGATTCCCCACGAATGGGGTGTACACACTTAAACTCCAAATGGAGAGTGCTAATCTTTCGAGTACAACTGATGAGTCTCGAGTACAACTGATGAGTCTCGAGTATGATGAGCTTCGACTCGCATAACGCTTGGCTTCCCTGTAGCTACTTTAACAGGGACACCCAGAAGCAACGGCAGTTCAGGGGGGGGACCAAAAGGACATTCAGAACAACACAACCATCTCGGCAGGTACGTCTGACTGATCAGGTCAGATATCAGCGCAGGTCACGGCCCTCTTCGTTGGGTCACCGGTCGTGACTGCGGGTGACCCCCCTGCTGAGAAACCGAAAAGGTGGTGACAGGGCATTCTGTCACTCCGCACACACACACACCCATATCCGATACCAACATTACTTCAATCATAGACTTTCGATATATCATACTGCAAGTGCACGGATCAAAGGATTACAAAAAAATGGTTCTGTCACACGACTCGAAACAGCTAAAGGATGCCACCCCCCCCCCCCTCCAACCCCCACCCCGTCAAAGACACCCCGCTCCGGGACCCTGCCCCCCCCCCCCCGTTTCCCCCAAACGCCCTGTCGGCCTCGCGACAGCGAAGACCGGGACCCGCCTCTAGACCCTGCACTCGGGCCGGCGTGACGCCGGCGATCTTCTTGGAGTTCAGCCTGCGCGGCGAAAAGAAAAAATAAGTTCGGCGAAGAGTTGAAGCAACATCGGACAGTGTCTGAGGCTTGGATCCCTTCAAAGTTAGGTTTCAGCGAAAATATATACATATATATAAAAAAGGACCAGGTCAGTCAAGATGCAAACCAGGAAGCCACTTTTTACTTGTAGTGAACAGCGAGGATCTGGATCATTCTTGGGCTTGCAATCACCGAATTGTTGACCCAGGATTCCCATGGCAGGACTCAGTGGCGGCTAGCCAGGCCACTCTGCACCTTCCAAAGCCCTGCGAACCATGGACCATGAATGGTGGATGGCATTACTTGCTTCAACATACAGGGTACATCTCGATCCATCTGCCCTTGTTGCTGGCGATTGCGTGCCCATAGCTCTGCTTCTTGTGGTGACGCCTCTGGTTTACGCCTTTTGGTATGAGTTGCATGCCGTCAAAGAACTCCCGCTCCCGCCATGTAAGCCACGCTCAGAATATGCGATATCCACCATACGTGGGTAAGTTAGGGCGCGACCCCTGGTTTTTGGTGAGAATCGTGGTGCGGTCCCTGGTTTCTGGTTGAAATTAAAAAAAGTCTCGTCCTGTCCCGATGGTCAAATGGACCATGAACTGCATGATATTTGACCGCACCTCCTGCGGGCATGAGCCGTGCCCTGTCGAGCGCGGATCATCGTCACTTTGCCGCGCAGGTAGACATGCTCCGAGGTGCACCGACGGAAAAGAAACAAAGCCCCGTGTCATGGTGCCGATCTGCCATAACTTGATGCCATCGTTGAAGGTCCAACCTTTCTTGGCTGCGATGTGACCGGGAAGGTTCATGCACAAGCCTGCAAAGACATCTTTCTGCGCGATGGTCTATGAGAGAATTCTTCACTTGGCGGGGGGGATCCATCAGATTTACAAATCGGGGAAAGCCTCTATCCCGCTCCCAACTGGGGCCGCTGCCCGGGCAAGCACTTGCGAACATCCACGCCGTCATACCTGACAGCCATGTGACATCCACTGACGTAGCTGCCAAAAGGCCCACACTTGAGCTGCAACAAGTCAGTTGTTTGCTGGTCAGGGACAATGAAGGAAGCACAAAGGGTAAACGGGCAAAAGGGGCAGAAGGGAAAGTTGAGTCTGACACTTTGGACCACCCCTTCGAATCTCCCCTCTTGTCCTAATATTCCTTGTCCTGGCCTTGCTGTGATGGCTTCTTAGCCTCCCATTCCATGTCAGAAAGGGCGCTTCCTTTTGGGGCTCCAATGAACTTCGCAAAAGCCTCCTGCCAACACAACGAGCTTTGCAAGAGAACAGCAAGTGAACGGAACAAACACGGTAGAAGCTGGATGGTCCCCCCCCAACTTTTCTTGAATCTAATGTGTATTGATGTAACATGTCGGGCAAGATGTACAAGTAGGCAGGGAAGTGCGTGCATCTTAGCATCATAGCACCCACCTTTGTGGGTTGTGCCCCCGTTTGCTACCAGTGGCTGATGAGAAATGAATTGCACATCACCACTGTTCCAAATCAAAGGGTGGACCCTTCCTCGGTCGGGGGATCGGTGCAATTCTTCTACCGATACCAAAAGTCAATGGGGCAGGCGTCAAAGTTCATCCGAAAACATGGCGAGTGTTGCTGGCAACTAGGGGACAACCCAACGGCCCAAGGGTCTGGAGCGGAGTTAATTCAATTTGCAAGTGGGTACGCCATCAAAATGTCGATTAGAAGCGTTCCTTGCCTCCTTACACACCGGTTGGACCAAACGCCTGTCCAAACGTGCTTTCAGCCAGTAGTGTTCAAACATCCCCATCTAGATGTTCCGCTTACAGCGGGCCAGTTTGGCCCAAGCCTTACAGCGGCAATTCGACTCGGTGCCGCATTTTCCGAGCCAGGTACTGGTCCAGCTTTGTGGGTCTTCGGGAGCCGTTCGCCCCCCGGGCTCCCACTGGGGGGGATAAAGGCCTTCCCCTAGAGATCGGGGTGAGACCATTCCCCAAAAAACCACTCTAGAGCGTTTCAGACTCTTTCACAATCATGGAAGGAGACAGGGGGCTTCCCCAAAAGGACCTAAGGAAAGTCGTCTTCCACACTCCGATCGTCAGCTTTGATGATTGGAAGGGTACTTCATAGGCCTCATTTTCTGCGGCCCCGCGCTTGGCGATAAACTCATCACAGGCCGGAGAGGTGCGAAAATTGATGAAGCCGTAGCCGACATTGCACCTGAGAAGTCGCAAAGCGTCCATCAAACGCATACTCTGGTCAGCATTAGCAATACAGAAAACACATGTTAATAGTTAATATGTATATGATAGCATTTATATGATATGCCGGTATCTGTACATATATTTACATATTTACTAGTGTATATTGTTGCGTATATATATATATATATAATATGCCGGTGTCTGCGTGCATATATGTACATATTACGAAAGGTGCCATATGCTAGTACGTATATCTTCATATAGAAGTATCAAGCAACGGTGGTTCACTCATATATATATATATTTTGTCTGGGGTATCTTAAAAAAAGGTGGATCATGTGGGTGTTCAATTGTGTCCACACAAGAGGTCACATCGAAAAGACAACACACACACACACATCGACACACACTCTGGCAGCACAAAAAGAGTGAAGGCAAACACATGCCGAGTGTCGACTCAGAGGTTGAAGGGCCAATGAGCCTACCCAATGCCAATAGCAGGGCTGCAGTGGAGAATGGACGTTTGTATAAACGAGCATACAACCAACGAACAACAAACACACACACACAAACACAAACACAAACACAAACACAAACACAAACACAAACACAAACACAAACACAAACACAAACACAAACACAAACACAAACACAAACACAAACACAAACACAAACACAAACACAAACACAAACACAAACACAAACACAAACACAAACACAAACAAACACAAACACAAACACAAACACAAACACAAACACAAACACAAACACAAACACAAACACAAACACAAACACAAACACAAACACACAACACAAACACAAACACAAACACAAACACAAACACAAACACAAACACAAACACAAACACAAACACAAACACAAACACAAACACAAACACAAACACAAACACAAACACAAACACAAACACAAACACAAACACAAACACAAACACAAACACACAAACACAAACACAAACACACAACACAAACACAAACACACACACACACACAAACACACACACACACACACAAACACACACACACACACACACACACACACACACACACACAGACTACACACCCACACCCACACCCACACCCACACCCACACGCACACGCACACGCACACGCACATGCACGCGCACGCGCACGCGCACACACGCACACGCACAAACACAAACACAAACACAAACACAAACACAAACACAAACACACACACAAACACAAACACAAACACAAACAAATGAATAATTGAAGATGAAACCCAGACAAGCAAGCAAGCAAGCAAGCAAGCAAGCAAGCAAGCAAGCAAGCAAGCAAGCAAGCAAGCAAGCAAGCAAGCAAGCAAGCAAGCAAGCAAGCAAGCAAGCAAGCAAGCAAGCAAGCAAACGCACACCCACAAGCAAACAAGCAAAACAAACAAACAAACAAACAAGCAAACAAACTAGCAAGTAAGCAAACAACAAACACGTAAACAAACAAGCAGGCAAGCAAGCAATCAAGCAAACAAAAAGCCAAACAAACAACCAAAACAAGCACAACCAATGGTCACACATGACTAGTGGGTTGCCGTGGCTCCCCTTGTCGCTTTGAATCCATATATGAAAGAAGGCTGACTGATACTAAGAGATACTAAGTCGCAATCAAGCCTAGATCAAACAGGCTAAGATTGTGTTTCACCCTTGAGCTCAAAAGACCTGCACAGGCTGGGCAGCATGTCACCAAACCAGTTTCTTATCGGTATGGTTCACCACCTGACATGTAGGCCGTGCTCAAGAGACACACACAGATTGGCTTCTCACGGGCAGTCCAAAGAACCAAAGAATGCAAACACATGCCATGCACCCTGTATGAAATCTGATTGCCTTCTCACGGGCAGTCCAAAGAATGCAAGTGCATGCCATGAGCTCTGTATGAAATCTGGGCAGTCCAAAGAATGCAAATACATGCCACGGCAATCTTGGTTGACGTTGGAAGGGGAGCAACAATTTACATTTTAGAAGTTAAGTGGTCACTCAACCACAATAAGCAAAAAAAGGAAAACAAACAGCTTCCCAACAACAACCATGCCATAGCCACTGGTGCATTCGTCACGCATCCAAGGTCGCAGCTTGTTCTTGAAGTCAATGGGCAAGTACACAAAGTCGAAGCGGCCTTTGAAGTCCTGTGGGACGTTAACGCCAGCGCTTTGGCACGAAAACGCTTTGGGAAGTGAAGGCGAGGAAAGTTCTCTCTGGGGCAATGAAGCCCCTGCCCCGCCCAGAGTCTACATTTAAGACACTCAGGGGCAGGTTTGAGATGAAAACTGCACAAGCACCACATTCGTGAGCAAACTGTTCGATTTCAGCCGCCAAGAGCCCAGGCCTGTAATGCAAGTTGCAAACGTCTTGGGGTTTGTAGGGGCTAGAACCTGAACGCGCTAGAAGGCTTGTCAGACATGGTGCATGGCAGCACACCCATGACAGAAGGCCACGCAAACCACAACACCAACCTGATATCAACACTGACTCAACGACGATGCCAAAACTTGCAGCAACAGCGATACGGCGCAATGCCCAAAGGGCCTCTTGGATCATGGGCCGCCTTGTAGAGCTGAAATAGCCCCAACTTTGACAAATCTTCGAACCACGTGGCCATGGGTCAAAATCCCGGTTAGCCCCAGTGAACATCCAAATCCCTGCTAAAATTAAAATGGGTGGTGCACCTACCCCAAAATGGCACCATTGGTTTTGACCACAGCCATGTGGCAAACAAACAAAAGTATGATCGGTCTGACCTTGAGTCCGGCCTTTCACTTTGGCAATCTGCAAAATCCAGAAGCCCATCGAGGGCGCCGCCCGTGCTCGGAAGCTATCTGTTCCGTAATTGACACAGCTAAGGACCCAACTTTATATACCAGCATTTGGCAATTGCAAGGAAAACATACATAAACATACCATACCAGGCGGTCCCTTTGGGCACACCCTGCTTCGGCTGTGCTTGTTCAACGACATTGCTGGCGGGAGGGGCCATGTTCCTTTTCAGACAACTCGCATCCGCACATTAATTGCAGCAATTGGTGCGAATCACCCAAAATCACCTATCTGTAACTTAAGGGTTCCATGACAGGAACCTAAAGCGGCCCCTTGCGAGGTCGCATTTTTACTTGCTCAAATGGACTGGGTCCACCAGCATAACATTCTCAAGATGGCACTCACCACCAACAGCGACTTCCTCAAAGCGCAACTTTGAGGAACTCTCCGCTTCGTCTCCTGGTTGAGCTGCTTGACGAGCATCTCGCGGGTGTACTTGTTGGGGATGTTGCGGAGCATCACGGTCGTGTAGCCTGGGATCGCTGTGCTAAAGCAAGCGGCTTCGGATCTCGGGGTTGCGTCTAAATGGGGTGAATTTCCCGTGGGGGCCGTTATCTTATGATCGTGATCGGTTCTCGCTCCTTTTCATGGGTGTTCAGCCGTACATCGATCCGAAGTGTCCGTAGTCCAGTAGCCTGCCACAGTATTCTCGTTGCTTTGCAGTATGTCTCCTGTAGCTTTCAGGCAACTCACGTTTTAGACGTTTTCCCGTGGTATTGCAGTCTTCTAGCAATTATTGGTCTTCGCAAGCCTTCCCGTAGTCCTGGAGTCTTCAAGGAGGGTAGTCTTCCCGGATTCGTTTCTGCCAGGTAGTGAGACGCATCATATCCGTACTGCACGCCCAGTGGGCCAAAGGCCCACTGGCCACGCAACCTTTAAACATCCTCAAGCAACGCCCAAAAAACCGCCTAGTCCTGGCCCCCGGGTCCCGGGTCTGTGAGGCTTCACGCAGATTGGCCCCACTTCACCAAAACGACCCGCGCCGCGCTGGCCTGATTCGCCAGTCTGTGCTGCGAGGCTCTCCGAACCTTGGAAAAGGCCGGACTGCATTCCGATTGAGGAACTTCTCCCCGGCGAAGACGGAAATCCAAGCTTGCGGGCAACGTTCCGGGCACAACCTCGGGGCCTTCCAAAAACGGACCTCCAAAAAGGGGTGAGCCTCAAACGGGAGTATTTCCGTGGCTCTTTCGGGCCTACTCTTATTCCCTTTGTGCAAAGGAGCTTATGTTCCAGTTGGTCACGTGAGATATTTTGGACAATCCCTGGTAAAGGTTTATCGGGAAGGGGCCCAACCCAAACCTTATTTGGACGGCTATTACCAAACCTAGTTTATGGGTGTTGTATTGTCCGTGTTGGGGACTTCTTAGCAGACCTCACATGAGCCAAAAGCAAACATATTTAAGGGGACATGGGACAATTTGATTCTCTCCCCCCAAGTCCTCCCCAAACCAACACTACTAAACTACCAATAGTTGTGCCAGGCTCGTCCGAAGGACGTCTAAGGCCTGACACTGCTGCCCAGTCGCGGGCAGACCGGAAAACTGTGGGGTAAAATGCTGCATTGCCATTGTTTTCAACCCCGGATGCCTAAGCAACCTTGTGAATTAGGGGATCATGTGTGTATCTTGAAGAGCCATTATCAGGTTTCGCCTTTTGACCAGGTTGTGCAATTTGATAGAAACGGAACAGATTTGTTCCCGCATCCCGCAACGTGAAGGATTCTCTCTTGAAAGGGACACCCCCGATTGATCAACAAGCTTATTTGTGGGTTCCCGGCCAGGTTTCCACTGCCATAAGAATCAAGGGCTGGCAGTCAAAACGAGTGGGGCCCTTGGCAAACCATGAGGCCCCAATTCAAAGACACGCCTGAAGAACATGAATCAAACACTACGCGCAATTGGCAACCATACACCGGCGTTTGAGCTCCTTAAGTCTTGCGTGCTGGGCCATGCATCGAATAAACGAGCCATGGCCAAAGACTCCGGATCAGGGGCCCTGGTGGCTCCCTTTGTAGCTTTAGGGTCTAAAGTTTCAGGGTTCCTGGCACGAACGGGCGCAAGCGAGGTGATCAAACGAGCTCTCGCCCGCGAACCGGGAGCCTTGCTGCTGCTTGCAGGTATGCTCCCACCTCAGGAGGAAGACCGGGCAGGAGAGAGTCCAAGACTGGCTGGTGCTTGGATATATGGTACAGCGTTGCCAGACCCCCCCCCCCATGGGTCATGGGTCAGAACCCCTATGGTTGCCAGCCCCCCCCCAATGAACACGGGACCATATATACACCTCCTGTCTGCTCATTTGCTCCTTGGCTAATGTGCACTTCAGGCCTCATGTCCCTTTGGGGTGGCTACCGGGCCCTTTGGTTCTTGCCACCAGGCTTGTCGCAAGCACGGCTTGGGGGGTGGCTTTGAGCAAGGGTCTCAAAAAAAATGACAGGTGATGAGTTTCCTGGTGATTGGAGTTCAAGGTTTGCCCATCCAAAGAAACTTTGCGCAGTACTGACATGATCTTCCTTTGCATCAAATGACGTCTATAGGCGTGGCCCAGCAAGAGATTCCCAACATAGATTCAAAGGAACTCAGCCCAAGGAGAGGCCGGAATCACTGTGCGATTAACAAAATGATGTATCCCAAGCTTTCTTGTTCTTGGCAGCGAATGTGGAAATCGGCCTTGCGGCCGCTCTGGGTGGAACCACTCGATTGGTGGAGGGAAAGTCCCGCATTCCCTACATATACTATATAATAAAAAGCAATCTCAGGCTACAGCTCATCCAATTCATTCATGTCACAGAAGAGCGAAGGAACAATATGTCGAAGTTGAGAACTGCGTTCCCCAATCAGCACCGGTGACCCTGGCAGAAAAAACGGACACGTTTCTTTTTGGACTTGGCATTCTTTGTGCGGAATCCTCAATAAAAGGGCTTTGGAGGGTGAAATCCATTGAACAAGTCGTACGCCCACCCTCACACAACCACCCTTCACCACCACCCTCGCACCACCATCCTCACACCACCACCACCACACCACCACCACAGCACCACCTCACACCACCACAACCACCACAACCACCACAACCACCACAACCACCACAACCACCACAACCACCACAACCACCACAACCACCACAACCACCACAACCACCACAACCACCACAACCACCACCACCACCACCACCACCACCACCACCACCACCACCACCACCACCACCACCACCACCACAATCACCACCACCACCGCCGCCGCCGCCGCCACCACCCTCCACTAGCCCTTCCGCCTTCGGCCTCAACCTCCACCTCTGCCTCCTCAGGCGCTTCCTGAGCCGGCACGGCCCATCCCAGGAACGTCTTTGCCTTTTGGCAGGATGAGACATATCCAAACCTGGCCATGTCAAGAGCCACTGGTAAATCTTGTTTTGCTTTTCAGGGAGCCCAGGAAAGAGTCTCTGGTGAAAACAACTTGTTGCTTGTCAGGGCCCAGAGTTCAGAGGGGAATTGGCCATTTGCGTGATACGCTGTCCCCTCCTCATGCCCACAGCTGATAGTTCGTGTTGCTAGAGACCTCCCGTTGGACCCCGACAAGTCGGATGTGATCCCAAGGCGTCCCCATCGACCCCAATATGTTTCTTGGGATATTTTTCAGGTGACTCCAAGGTGGGCCTCATATTTGGCCATAGGTCAAAATCCAAATCGTACCCCCAGTGAACATTCTAACCCCCACTAAAATAGACTATGGGTGGTCCACCTACCCAAAAACGTACCATTGGTTGTGACCAGCCATTTCAAATTTGGGTAATGTCCCTCAAAGTCGCCAAAAACTGCGGCGCCTCGGCGGGTTCAGGCTCCTCCTTGTACTGGGACCAGCGCCTTGCGCATGTGAGCCCGGATGTTACGGGGAAGGATTTCGATGTCATCCCACAGAGGCGTGGCTTGCAGGAGAATCTCTGGTGGCTCTTGCCAGGGAAAATTCAAACTTCCGGAAAAAAGAAGAAGAGGAAACAACAAACAAACAAACTCACCATGCGGAGCGCCTTACTAACAGCAGGGTAAACTCAGCCGGGGCACTGACATTTGAGGCGGGGCTAACCAAGATGAAACCAGATGATTTTCGATGGATTTAGCAACAAGCAGCATGGGTGAAATAAAGCAATGATATCTTGTGCAAAGTACCCTTCCCCGAAGCACACAGGCAAGTTCAAGGGGACTTTGCGTCAGCTCCAACTTGTTTTTGAGAGAACATCACGTCTCAAACAACAACATGATAAAATATTCGTGGCCTCATCCACACCCTTCATGATTTCACTTCGGTCCTGTAGGACAATGTCAGTTCTATTCAATGTTCAGTCCACAGGCATTTTTACTGGGCAAGGGCCTTGGTTTGTCACCCGCACCGCAATCAATTTTCAACCTACCCCAGCCACGCATCGGAAGACTCATGCAACATCAGGAGGTGAAGCGCAGGCCAAAGCACCAAGGATTGTAAACTCTTTGAGTCGAAAAGCAACTAGGTCCTCCAGTAGAGAGGATAGAATAAGGATACCCGATTTTTTTCTGGACGTCTATGCTTTTTTTGGTAGAGGAACCCTCCCCCCAAAAAGGTTGGTAGAGAAGGGCACCTAGCTGGGGGACCCAGTCAAGCCCAAAAGCTTGGGACCACCTAAGCATCACCCCAATAGAAAACCCATGTCTTCATGGCCCCAACATTTTCAGACACACACGCAATCAGCCCGGAAAAAATAATAATAATAAAAAAAAACATGTGTTCTTTTTTTTGTGGTGGCTGACGGTGCATGGACAAGGAGTGGCAATGATGCATTCCGGCCGTAGTGGTGTCCCCTTTCATGCCGGTTCCTGCATTTTGCTTCTGACAAAGAGAGGCTTACCCTCGACTCACTGAGCCCAAATCCCTGGATGATATTCATTTCTTGGGGCCTTTAGATTGAACCAAATCCCTGTTTTTTTGTCCAGCCAGAGTCCAGGGATCAGGGGGTCGCGTGACGGGGAACAGGCAACCCATCCTTCCGACGCCGCGATGGGAACGTGCGTAGCATGGCCTCAAGGGGACCTCCCAGCACCGACTGGGTGAAACTGCCGAAGTGATGCTCTTTGTGCGGCTCTCACTCCCCCCCAACCCCCCGGAAAAGGCCAGACAAGCGCGTCGTGTTGGTCGCTTCTTGCAGGTCAGCGTCCCAAACGTGAAGTTTGCATAGGTGGCCTTTTGAAAATATCGATGGCCCTGGCTAATGGAACAAACCCCATCGAAACCAGTGGAACCCATCTATTTTTATCGAAACCCATGGAGAAAAGGGACACCTAAGGCCGCAGCTATTTTTCTCGAAACCTATCGAAACCAGTGTCTAAAACGGACACCTATGGAAGTGTCCCTGGACCTTGCTAAAAACCCGGCCCCCGTTCCGCGACTCGGGATCCGGCCAGTCGCGCTCGCCCCAGTTGTTCTCCTGCCACCCATCCTGCCAGCACTCAGACACGCATTTTCACGGCACAAACAGGGGAGCCACACTCAGTATTAAGATGGTGTATTAAGATGGTGAACCCAGAACCATGCTTCAAGAATTAAGCAGGCGGACATTTCCGCAGCTATGGCAAGGGGATTGGCCCTAACCCTCATCTACCCGGAGTTCGGTTTTGCGCACGTGGCTGGGAAAGACGGCTGGGCACAGCTCACGCGGAAGGGGCACCCGCATAGCGAAGATGAGGCATGGAGCACCAAGAGCGAAGCTGTGGTAACAATGTGATACACAAACGACCAGGGTTTCGTTTTTGGACTACCCCAGAACTTAAACCCAGGGGTGGTTGATTCCCCCAAAAGGGAAACCCCTGGGTTTAAGTCTACCCCAAGGAGGTCAAAAAACGGAACCCTGCATATGACACACACTTAAACTCCAGATGGAGAGTGCTAATCTTTCGAGTACAACTGGTGAGTCTCGAGTACAACTGGTGAGTCTCGAGTGGGTGTAGGTTCGGCTTGCATTCACTTGGTTTCCGCCTAGCAGCGAACACGTTACCCGAAAGAACAAGAAGCACAAACAGCGCCGCAACCAAGGGGGCCAAATAGACATTTGCAAAACTGGTGCAGGTACACATCAAGGCGTCCCTTGATGCATCCAGTCATCCTCGATAGCTTCGTTGGCGTGGCTACGAGGAGACCGCCACGCCCCCTGCTGCAACAGAAAAAGGTTTTGGTGGCAGGGTTTTCTGCCACTCCGCACACACACGCCCCTCTACGAGGGGCGAGGCTTCTCTTTTCTCCTGCAGGAAGATCACATGCTCAAACTCGAATCTCTATCGTTGACCAAAATATCCTCCACGGCGAGGGGAGCGAGACACCGCCCTAAACCGCTCAGAAGACGGGAACGAGAGATCACCACGTTGAGCGTTGCGAGTGTCGCCATAGAGGACTGAAGCGATTTGCGAAGCAGCCGGGCGATCACCATGAGAAAATGGAGTGGCGTAGGTGAAGGTCTCCTCAACTGGAACGGCATCGGAGTTTTGAACTTGACCGAGAGCTGGATCATGTGGATAGTGAGTTGCGAAGGACTCAATCCGAGACAGAATGCGCTGGTACCCTTTATGTTGCCAGTCACGGATGTCCCATGCCTGGACTGGCGCATTGGGATCAGTCACCCGCTGCCATTCCCGAAAGGAATTTTCAGGTAGATCAGGTACGGCGTCACCGCGGTGCCATCGTTGAGGCTGTCCTGGAGTGTATATCCGCACCCACTCCTGATCCTGCCAGACCGAATATTCGAGCCATGGGTGCTGCTTCGAATCATCGATGTCCATGTCGAAGCAAGAGGCAAGGATTGTCGCGGGCTCCGATCCAGCTAATAGATGAACAGGCACCACGCACAACCATGTTCAAACAACAACCAAGCAAGATCATGCAAGTGTAGAGACCACTCTTATTTTGTACGCTGCGCTGCTCATGTGAGTCTAGTCCTGAGTCAGCTCGAAGACGGGACTCATCTTGTTTCCGCCACTGTCGGAAGGATTCACGGGCCGGTAGGGGTCGGAGACCCCAATCGTCTCCGATGGTGTGTTTCCACGCGATGCACGTACTGGTTGATGAGGATGGGAAGCTAGACGTGCGCGAGCCGTCAGTTGTTGAGAAATCCCCTCCTGGAGACGAGTCAGGTCTTCAGTAGAGAAATCAGCCGCATCCGAGGACCTGAGAATCGCGTCTAACAGCTCCGGCGACATACTCAATGCCGCAGACTGCGTGGCCACGCTGTGATGATCAGGGAGATACATGGAATCAAATTCATGACCAGCGTGAGGGGCAGCGACTCTCCGATAGCCCTCTGTGGCCCAGTCGCGTTTGTACCACATAGTGACTTGGACCTGCCCACCGACTGAGTCCTGGTTGGGAGCATAGAACTCCCTCCATTCTCTAAAAGTATGCGGAGGAGGTGGAGCATCATGTTCTTCTTGTGGCGTCCATGGTCCTGGATGAAAGATCTTGACCCACTGGGCATCAGGTTGTTGAGGATCCGGGCACCATTCCAGCCACGCCATGACAACGCAACCACGGAAAGACAAGTTGATAGGTGTACGGCTGCGGACAACAACGAGTGAAAGCGAAACAACTATCATAATGCAAAAGACCACTTTTGTAGCACTGCGCGGCTCCAGCATTGAAGTCAATCTCCCGAATCGAACTGAATTTAACTGAACAGACTCTCCACGAAGGCGAGGACGGGCATCAGCCATCTTGTGAATTAGATGATGCCGAGGAGGAGGTCAATCCAGCATACATGAGGTCCGGTGCACCCGAAGCGAAAACCGGCCTCGCTATGCTGGGATGTGGACGACCCAGGCGTTGGTACCCCCTGGTGACCCAGTCCCTGTAATACCAAGTGTAGAAGGTGGCGTAGGATACCGGTTGCAAAACCGTGCCTGTGGTTGTGCCGCCTGTGCTTTCCGTGGGCCAATACACTTCGAAGTGGTGGACCTTGCGCCATTCCCGATAGGTGGTCGGGTCATCCGGGGCCGGTCCCAGGGTGTCAGTGGCTACTGGATGCCACGGACCCGGTACATAGATCCGAATCCATTCCACACTCGTTCCTGCTGGCCCATTGACGATGTCATAGTCAAAATAGCGAGGTAGGACCCATCGTGCTGCACCCTGCACTGTACTATTGAACATTTCAACCCGACAAGCTGCTCAAAGTTATCAAGGAAAGCGGCGGACACATGGAGACGGCATGCGCACCACCAAGCAAGACAACCCAATGTGTACTCACTTACAAAGCAAGCACAACCGCATCTTTATCCAACATGCTACTCAAGTGTCAATCCGAATCATTCCAAGGATCATGGAATGGTGGCGGTGACGGTTCCCGCCACGCCCCATCCGGTACCGACGAGCCCACCGAGGACTCGACGTCTGCGTTCACGAGCATCGCGAATCCGATGGATTGTACAGGAGGTCCAAGCCGTTGATACCCTTGTGTTTGCCAGTCTCGGTACTCCCACACGTGGTAGGACACATAGGAAGTGGGCGTGACTATGGGATCCATTGTGGTGCCTCCGGTGCTGTCTTCAGACCAATACACTTGGAAGTGATATGATCTGCGCCACTCCCGATACGTGGAAGCGTGAAGTGGATCAGGAACTGGCGCCTCATCGGGAACGGGTCTCCAAATGCCCGGAGAGTAAATTCGAATCCATTCCACTCCTCTATCGATCTGGTACTCGAAATACTGGGGGTTCATAGCAGCAATACAGGCTCGCACGACTGCTAACCTAGTCGAAAGTCTGCGGCAAGGACACACATGCATTGCAAACTGCACACATCCGCTGGAGAGTGAGGCAACTTTTCAAACTCAAGGTGAAACACTGCAACGAGGTCTGAAATGTCCAACTCCTAGGTTTCACTGTCGTTGATGTCGCGCACACCTGCAATGATAGTGTCCTGGTCGTCTGCGAGCACAAGGGGAAAGACATTTCCGCCCATGGCGCAGGATGGCATGACAGTAATGCTTGCAAGTTGCCGATGGGGACCGCGATGGACGGCCAGCACGTTTGGAAGAAAACACTGTAAAGGGCCGTCGAGATCGCCGCGGCGCTGAAGCTGATGCTGTCCGAGATCGTTTGGACGAGCGCCCTGGACTGCGTGGTTCTTCATCACGGGAAGGGTCAGTGCTGTAGATCGAGCGGCGTGTGCGCTGCGATTTCGAAGAGGTAGGGCAGGATTGTCCGCGAGGGGCTGAGATCGAGGGGCTGCGTACTGAGGGCATAAACTGTGGGTGTAGAATCACCGGTGGTGGTGGTGGTGGAGGAGGAGGTGGAAGAAGCAATGGCAGACTTGGCGGGGGCGGAGGCGACGTAGTCAGCCGAATGGGTCTGTCGAGTAAAGCCCCGGGTCCATGAAATTGTAACCACGTCGGCTGCGCTCCATGGGTCCAGGTAATGTACGTCTGTACAACTTGTTCCGACATGATTTGAGCAACTCAGGCATGACTTCACTGCATGGCAACGACATCTCCCCAAACGACAAGCAAGATTAAGTCACGTGCAAGCAAGCAAATATCATGTGATCAACAACTCGAACCGTACCCACCGCCGCAGCTTACCATTTAGTCCTCCGATGGTCGCGGCTGCATTTGACGACCGTGTTCCTAGCCGCGAGCCTCAAGTTGTTGATCGACCTTCCATGCCTGCTTGACTTCTTCAATCGGCTTCTGAAGAAACCGAGCTATGGTCTTATAGGTGGGCCTGGAATCCTTGTCTTTCTTCCGTCTCACCATTTCATCCAGCTCACCCTGTGTCCATGCCGTGAAAGGTTCACGGTATGCATTGCGAAGTGCAATGGTGAATTCTTGTAGAAGTTCCCTAGGACCATGAACCACCGTAGGTGACGGCCGGAACGACGAGGCACCTGGATGCGGACGTACCGAACCATCAGAATCCGAATCAGGTGTGGTAGGCGTCGTTTGTCCTGGCTCTCGGCCACCGTGTGCAGCGAAGGGAGCAAGTTCGGGCCGAGTACCAGGGTTGCGGTCACTAGCATCACGATGCGCCGCTCGAGGCGGGGACAAAGCCGGTATGTACCAGGTAGATGACGTGTCCACCGGTCGAGCCCGAATTCGTGTGGGGGATCGGGATCTGTCAGACGAGGCGCGCTCCGTTATGATGCGGGGCCGCAACCCATGTCTGGAGTTTCTTGGTGCTCTCGGGATCACCACCGTGTCTGACGGACGACCACGCTCCGTCATCAAGGCAAAGTTCAGGGTGTCCAGAGCTGTCGCAACTTGGGATGCAAGGACATTGAGTACAGCCACCAGGTTATTCACAAACTCGACAGACAACTGCATGGCAACCGATCAAACAACAAGGTCAACTCAAGCAAATCTGCAAAGCTATAACGCTGCGGCATGGCAAAGATATGGTGCATGCAAACATGAATGTAGCAAACGCTGAGGTACTTTTGTCGCTGTTGCTCCGTCAC